GCTGATTTGCTGATCAAGAAACATTTCCTTTCATCAATGTTGAAAACATTTGTTGGACACAAACTGAAGTCCTTGCAAAATATGATTTTAAAGATTATTTTAAATCTGAGGTAATTCTTTCTATTTTTCCAAGGTTGCTTTACCACCAGAGTGTGACGATATAGCAGTATAGTACATATAAAATGGTATAGGTATATAAATGGTATAGGAGAATCTCTACTGGTTGACACGTGTTTCTGTTGTCACAGTGAATATATCGTCATAGAGCCCAGCCCTTTTTGCATTGTAAGAAACATGCCTGTCTTTTTACTTTAATTCCACATGATATACTTTATAAGAATCAAAACAGAGCACTTAGTTGCTTACGTTTGAGTCATGGAGTTGATCCATGGGTTTAGAGCTGAAGTGAAGAGTACAAGCCACGTGGCAACAGCCGAGGCAGGCTGCGGGCTCTCTTTTCCCGTCAATGTCTCATAGAAGCAGATAACGATGTATGGCAGCCAGCAAATGAGCAGGCACACTGTCAACAACACGCACAAATCACATGACGTGGTTAAAGATTTTTTTGAACAAGCTTATTTCATTAGCTCAAGAGGAGTATCGACGTCTGGAGGCTGTGTTGCATGTGTGATGTATTTTGCTAATTCGTTTTTCCATAATCTACCTGGACCCTTGCTGTTTTTTTTCTCAGTCACCAAAAACAGAGGAATAAACATTATACATTTAAAATAATTAGGTTGTCAATCGATTCAAATTTTAAATTGAATTGATTACATTTAGTTAAATCACAGTCAATCCACAGCAATTCATTTTGCAGTCAAATTTATTATTCTTTTGGTGAGTCGTTTGTCTACATATGCACACAGATTGATGTCTTTGGCCACTGTAATCTCGATAACTCTAGTTTTACTCTAAACATTCTCGGATTTGCATAACCAGTAAAAAGTTTGGACCCAACTACTCATTCTTTATTATTTCCATAATGGGGAAGAAGCTGAAACTTTAAAATAGCACACATGGAAATATGGGTATTCTGTTATTATTTTTAGCTTAATTTTTGAGCTTCTTCGTTGTGTAGATTCCAGCTCTGCACAGCTCTGCAGGACACGTGTTGGCTGCTTTTCCTTCATCTCCAGTCCAACTCTTCCATTATATAAATTAAATTTATAGTTTTTAAATGAAATTCAAACATAGACAATTTATGTTTGTCTGCAAAAATTTGAAGCATTTAAGCTGAAACCTTTATTTTGAAATGTTTTAAGGTCATGAGAAACGTAAATTGAGTTACATATAGTAACAAAGTGTGTCTAAACTTTTGACTTATTGTGTGTTTTCTTTGCAATTTATAATCTTTTTATATTATTATAGTATTACTGTACATTACTATTCAAAAGTTTGGGGTTAGTGAGATTTGTTTTAAGAAATTAATACTTTTATTCGGCAAGGGTGCATTAAATTGACCAAAAGTGACTGTAAATGTAATGTAATGTTACAAAATATTTATATTTCAAATAAATGCTGTTCTTTTGAAATTTCTATTAATCAAAGAAACCTGAAAAAATGTATCATGGTTTCCATCAGCAGCAAATCAGCATATTGGAATGATTTCTGAAGGATCATGTGACACTGAAAACTAATAAATTCAGCTTTGCATCACAGGAATAAATTACATTTTCAAATATATTAATAGAATAATAATATAGATAATAGAAAACAATTGTTTTCAGTTGCAATAATATATGACAATATTGCTGTTTTTACTGTATATTTGAGATTCAAGAATTTCTGCCTTGTTAAGCATTAGAGGCTTTTCAAAAACATTTTTAAAAGATCTTACCGACCCCAAACAATGATATTATATGTGGATGCTGGTGTTGCTCTGTGTGTTTGTATTGTTTGTAAGCAAGTCTCCATATGTCAGGGGAAAATGATTGTACCTAATCAAACCTAAATTATGTCAGAAAGATAATCACTTATTGAAGATCCAAAACACTGTGGCAAATCAAACATAATAAAGCGGCTTTATGCTCCCTGGTTTAATTATGCTTACCTATGGTAGTCACCATTACTATGGAGCTTTTGAAGTAATTATTGGCTGGCACGTAGAAACAATGGTCTTCGTTGCAAACAAACGTCCCTCGTCGCACCTGGTTCCTAGCTATATACACTATATATCCATACATGGAGCACATCAGTACAATGGGAATGATGATTCCCACCACCATGAAGAGCATGTTGAAGGCAATACAGGATGGTTTGAAGCTGGGAACGCAGAGGAACTTTGTCTCGCTGTAGACGTAACTTCCAAAACCAAAGAGTGGCAGAGCCGCGGTGAGGATGCTGTAGACCCACACCATTGTGAGGATGATTTTGGCCCTGTACGCTGTGAAGATCACGGAGTAGCTGAGGGCGAAGCAGATCTCTGTGAACTTGTCAACAGTCGCCCAGGTGAGCGAATGGATTGAGGCGAGCTGGAGCAACAAAAACAGAAAGGCACTGCCCTTGCAGGTGGCGCTCTTGCTGGGGTAGCTCTTGACTTGGGAAAGGCTGTTATGGATACCGAAAGGGATGGTGGAGATGCCCAATGCCAGATCACATAGGCAGAAGCTCAGTGTGAGAACCCAGGTGTCCGTTTGCAAGCTTCGGTTGAGTAACACCACCGACAGTAATACCAAGTTCCCCAACACGGAGCAGATGCTGGAACCAATCATCAATGCCGCATAAACCACCGCCATCCACTGCATGTTTACATTTACAGACAAGAAGACAAACGCTCATTCAACGACAGAGATCACACTGGAAGCTGTGGAAAGAAGAGGTCACGTTATCTGTGCCAAACCACCAGGGAAGGTGTTGCTGTATGGGAGGAGTGTACCTCATGCTGATCTTTAGGAGTAGAGGATCAACTGCACTTCACCAAGCACTGATCTCTTTGGGGAGCGTTAGTCAAACCCCCCTCCGCCTTTACTATCAGCACCTGCCTCAGCCGGTTCGAAAATGGCAAACATGCTGCCTTGAGAGGCAAAACTATGCGAACAGCTACAATCACATGTAGCGAGGTAAATAAAGCATCTAACATTTAAAGAGCAAGTTTCTGTGGACACAGGGCGCACTGGGAGGCTGGAGCTGCTCTGCTCTACAAACACAACGCTTGAGATCCAATATCCTCTCTGTTGCGGCTGCTGCCGACTTTATGAGCCGTTTCGCACTCGAGTGTTTTTTTAGTATAATTGGCAAGAAGTATGACCCTAATGCAGTTTAAGCCATAATCATTAATTAAGGCTTCAGTGCCTTTACCCAGAGCTTAAGCCATCCTTCCAGTTATATCAGTTATATCCTGTTACATGTGTCCTTTCATACGGGCATTAAACAGTTTTTGGATTACAGGTTTTTTGCACAAGCCATATTTGCAGTACCTTACCTGGACTTAATTGTTTAGTCAAATATAAATATTAAAACTTACTAATTACTTCACAGTTGCAGTCAGTTTATAGACATGTTGAGCATTTATGGGCCATGATTTTTACTGTAGCTTCAAATTTCAGAGAAATGTGTGCTACAGTGGAAATCCTTTCTATCCCAGTATAATGTGTAAAAACAACTACATTACTGGTCAAAAGTTTGCAGTAATTACAGTTTTTTTTTAATGTTTTTGAAAAAAGTCTCTTATGCTCACCAAGGTTGAAAATTCAGTTTTGGCAACACAGGAATAAATAATATTTCAAAATATATTAAAATAGAAGTGTAATAATATTGTGCAATATTACCTTGTTTTTGATCAAATAAATGCAGCCTTGGTGAGCTTAAGAGACTCCTTTCAAAAACAAAAAATCTTTATTAACTGGATGACTTCTTGAGGAGTGGGACACTGTGGCTTTACTAATGCTTCCAAAATTGTTTATTGGTTTTAGAGATCCAATGTCATGCTCAACTAATGGTGTGGCTCTGGGTGAGACTATTCCGTTTGCTAGTTTGTCTGAACAATAGCAGATTGGTGCCAGGGTGGTGGGAAGGTTTCAATGGAACCCTTTGTAATGAAATCTTTGTAATGACATTTGATGAGTTTGTCTTTAATATTGTTGAACAAAATATTGAGCAGTGTTCTGTCTTTTCTTTTCCTCAGCACAACGCTCCTATCCCACAGGGTGGACGTGGAGCCATACAGTACGTGACGCAATATCAGCATTCTAGTGGGCAGAGGCGCATCAGAGTGACCACAATTGCAAGGAAGTAAGTCCTCTGTCCAACTGTTTTCAATATTGATTATATAAGAAATATTTCTTGAGCAGCAAATCAGCATATTAGAATGATTTCTGAAGGATCATGTCACGCTAAAGACTGGAGTAATGATGCTGAAAATTCAGCTTCGCATCACTGAAATAAATTTCATTTTAAAATGTATTAAAACAGAAAACAGTTATTTTAAATTGTATTTTTGATCAAATAAATGCTGCCTTTGTGAGCATAAGAGACTTTATCAAAAACATTAAAATATCTTACCAACCCCAGACTTTTAGAATGGTAGTGCAAGGCTATCGTACTTTAGAACTTCTGTTCTACTGCATTTCAACCATAAATGTCATAGATTTTCTTTTGTGAGACACAAGAGCCGATAGAGTCCACAAAGTTTCCAGTTTGTCCACTAACCATTTGAGTACCCGAATACTTAGCAAAAGGAACTAGGGGAAAAAGCCTTCGACACATCATCGTGATTGTAGATTGTTCGTAGCGTGACCGTCTTCCTTTCATAAATGCGTTCAAGTTTGGACATCATCTTTGTACATCCTCCATTTGTTATCCTCAACAATTGCGTACAGTTTCCATGACAACTCGAAGAAGACATCAAAAGATTCCACTTTTAGAACATTGCATTTGTTTGTCAGAATCGATACGCATCAAAAGTGTACATTTAGTCTTGGACAAAGCCTAATGCGCTGCTTGTAGCTTTCAAACATACTTGAAGTGTTTTAAGTGCCTGAAGGATCATTTCAGAGCTCTTTGACTCTTTTTAAATATACCTTTTAGATTTATTTTTTAGCATCCAGACAGTGAAGATGAATCAATGTGAGTCAGACTGATGATGCTAAGGCTTGTGTTTGAAGGTCACTGTGCTATAACGCTCTCCTCATCCTCCTCTTCAGCTGGGCTGATGCGCAGACTCAGATCCAGAGCATCGCTGCATCTTTAGACCAGGAGGCCGCTGCCATCCTCATGGCCCGCCTGGCCGTCTATAGGGCTGAGACAGAGGAGGGCCCGGATGTTCTGCGCTGGTTGGACCGACAGCTCATCCGCTTGGTGAGCCTTTCAGTACTTCTTCTTTCAGCTGGGACTTGCACTATATTACTTAGTATAATCAGTCCTTTAGTATTAGGAATGCACAATAATTTCTTTATTTTCTTTAATTTGCAGTGCCAGAAATTTGGAGATTATCATAAAGACGATCCCAACTCATTCCGCTTCTCCGAGACGTTCTCATTGTATCCTCAGGTACCTTTCGTCTCATGCTTTGAGACGACACTTAATCTCACTTTACAGCTAAGAGAAAATGAAATCTTGACATTGTTTTTGGCAGTTTATGTTCCATCTGAGGAGGTCTCCATTCCTGCAAGTGTTCAACAACAGTCCTGATGAAAGCACCTATTACAGGCACCAGTTCATGAGGCAGGACCTGACCCAGTCTCTGATAATGGTACAGCCCATCCTGTATGCGTATTCATTTAATGGACCGCCAGAGGTAAACATGCAGACCTTCTCCCACTGCACATTTAAATGTTTGCTTAGTTTGACTGACCAGTGAGGGACTTTTTAGATGTAAGATACTATGATCACTAAAGAGAAATTCAGGCATGTTTTTCAACACATGTTAGAAATCAATAAGTATATAACGTATATAAACTTTTTTTAGCCATGTCTATATTTAAAATACATTTGACATATTTTAAAATGGAATTCATTTCTGTGATGGAAAAGATGAATTTTCAGCATCATTACTATAGTCTTCAGGATCACATGATCCTTTAAAATATCATTCTGATATGCTGATTTGGTAATTTATTACTCTGATCAATGTTGAAAATATTTTTTTCAAGATTCTTTGATGAATAGAAAGTTCAAAAGAACAGCATTCATTTTATTTAAAACATTTTTTAATAGATTTTTTTACTTTGATCTTTTAAATACGTCCTTGCAGAATAACTATTAAAAAAGGACTGACCCCAAACTTTTGAAAGTTAGTGCATAGAAAGTGAAACTAGCTTAACAATTTTTATTAAATATCCGTATTCATAGATTTTTTTTATGAGCTTAATGAGTCTTTAAAGTAAATCATGTGTCATGACTCGTGTTGAATCTGCACTGCAGTGTCATAATGATGGTGCACTTGATGTCCCCTGACTCAACAGATTAAACAGTGTTTTGTTTAATTAGTGTGCTGTGATCTTTTGTTCTTATTTTCGTTCAAGCTCATATTATTGTTGTCTTTAAACCTTTTTACAAAGGTACCATTTGTACTCACGCATGAAGGTTGTGTGTATTTTCACACAATTTTTTGAGAGATAGAGGTAGAACGCAAGCAGGCAAATGGGTTGTATAAACTCTACATAATGGTCTGATGGTCTGTAGTGCTTGTTCTTCAGTAGCAGTGAGCAACTCAAACTTACGTGTGTGTATTTCTAATCTGCTTTTAATGGAGGGCTTTATGTAACTTACTGTTTTCCCCTGACACTGGGACCAGAAGGGGGAAGTTCTAGGAAAAATGTTTAACAAAGCATCTAATTGACAGTGACAGTCTAATCATGGGCTTTGTTTCTTGTTGTTGTAGCCTGTGTTGCTGGACAGCAGCAGTATCTTGCCTGACCGCATCCTCCTCATGGACACCTTCTTCCAAATTGTGATTTACCATGGAGAGGTAAGATGTAAAAATCACAGCGCATGTTCTGCCTTCCGATTGCACAGTGGTTTGTTTTCCCATGTGACTGGGTAGACATTGGTTTAAATCCAAGTCTTTTTCATCTTTTCAATAATTAAGAATGCAGTCTGCTTTCTTGGTCTCGGTCTGAACTACGCACATGAAATCCGAGCCAGTTTTGCACCGAAACAAGTTTAAACTTGGCTGCGTTTCAGAGGACAGACATTTTCTGATGAAACATTGGAGGTGTCTCGCTGAAGTACATGCTAATGAAGTGAAATTTTAAACAAATGGAGTGAGATGTTCTCTTAGAGTCACATTTACTAGCACTAGTAAACAAGATGAATTTTCAGATTTGGCATGTTGTTGGATGACTTCTGATAGATGCACTGTGTTTTCCCTCATGTAGACGGTGTCTCAGTGGCGTAAAGCCGGGTACCAGGACATGCCTGAGTATGAGAACTTCCGCCACCTGCTTCAGGCTCCTGTGGATGACGCCCAAGAGCTTCTGCACAATCGTTTCCCCATGCCACGCTACATCGACACAGAGCACGGCGGCAGTCAGGTACAGAGGACCTCAATAATTATGAGCCACTCACACTAAACTAAACAGGTTACACTGATTTAGTAGAGTTTAGTAATATTAAATGGCAATAATAAGTGCAGTTACTAATATTATATGCAATAAAATGTTTATTTCTTGGTAATACACATTTGACAGTAAAGCACTGAACTCGAGTTGGGAAGCATACAACATTTACTTTTATTAACAACAGTAACGTGTAAAATCTCATTTTTAAATGGAAAATTTATATGTATATATATATATACAGTGGGTACGGAAAGTATTCAGACCCCCTTCAATTTTTCACTCTTTGTTATATTGCAGCTTTTATTAAATGTACCATTATTCTTCTATAGTATACTGAACTGATCAACTTGAATGGTTATAAAAGGAGTTGTGTGATTCAGTCGCAAATTGAAGAAAAATTTAAGGCAGTTTGTGACTTTTCTTTCTGCATACACACAAAAAAGGGCAAAACTTTGAGAAAATCTGATTTCTTGATGATTTGATATTTTATAATAGTGATTTTATAATCTCAATATATAAAGCAAAAAAAAAAGAAAATGAATGACTAATAAGCCATTAAGTTCTCCTCTGCTGCCATCTACTGGTTAGAGTGCATCTACTGGTCAGAGTGGTAATTTGACATATTTTTTTAAGTGTTTTGAAGTGTTTGTATACCAAAAAGTATATTTTGGTAATCCCATTAAAAAAAAACTTAAACTGGATCATTTTTACAGCTTTAAAGTGCTGTCGTTGTGTAAAATACTTGAAAGTCATTGAAAAGTGCTTGAACTTCTCTCAAAAGGTTGTACAAACCCTGAAATGAATAATTTAATAACATTTGACTGTCTGCCATAACATCATGGTTATAAGTTATCCTGACTATTTCTGGTTTTCTACGTCAGCGCTGTTTGATTTGTTTAAAACAGAGAATTCTGTGCAGAATTTGAATGCTTTTCACTAGATCACGCAGAAACCATTCATTCTGCGGTGAGTTCAAACACTTCTCACTGGATCTCGCAGCACTGTGCAGTAACAGTGTCGCGAGATCAACACTGGTTCCCGAGTAAACTGAGCTCGGACCAGTTTGCTTGTGCTGCACTACAAGTAGCTCAAACAAGTAGCGCGGCTTCGTTATGCTTTTGTTTCATTTGCCGTTTGAGGTTTTCCATATACAACAGAAATGGCAGCGCTTATCAAGATTTGATATTTGTCAATACTTTTAGGTATTTAATTAAATGTATTAAAAACAGACACTAATAACAGATATTTATCTCATTTTTACTAATATCGCTGGATTCCGATTGCCCTCTCAATGTCAGATTTTAGTCAGCACTACGTTTCTGCCTACTTTTTGGCATAGCCTTCACATTGGGAACGTACCAGTGATGCCTTAAATTGCTGTTTAGGTAGGCAGCTCAGTGTCAGCTCAAGTTTTGGAACAGAACCCCCCAAAACTGGTAAAAATCACAGTACCATAGTGGATTATTTCAGTTTTTTTTTTTTTATGGAATAGCAGCAACAGATGCCAATTTTCAACAAACAGTTCAATTGGTTAATTGTAATAATAAAAATAAAGTCAAATGAAAACACACACACAAAAGGAATTCTTCTGCCAAGTAATATAGTTCATTAGCTTGGCTGAGGTTTATGGTTACCAAGCAGCATAACAAATCAAAGATCATTCTGTGTGTTGCAGCCAACATTTAAGTGCACTTGGCTCGTGAATATGGATGTCAACTGATGTGCGTTCACAGATGTCTGTGTGTATATATAGTAGGGCTGAGCGATGTTCAGCTAAAAATTCATATTTTGATATTTTTCCAAATTTTGATGACATTTTTAATTATCTTTCTCTCTGTATATGTATATATGGGGGGCAAAAAATAACCTTCTTCAATTTTTTGAGAGCAAATGCCACTTAGAACAATTAACAGGTCTATTAGCTGCATTTACACTCCAAGACTTAATGCACAAATATACCGTGACATACAGTATCACATTTTTTGTCCCATCCAGTCCCAATATATAGTCCTACAGGCTATTTTACAGTGTAGGCTTTTACAGCCAGACCTATCCATTTTAGTTTAAAAAAAAATAGTTGGTTTGAGACAGCCGTGGCAAATGACAGTTGTTGAATCAGTAATTTTGCATTAGTCAGTGCCAATATTTATAAATTGCTTTCACAAAGCCACCTCCATTTTCTCAAGCCTTGATTAATGATGGCTCAATGGAAGGTGCTCCTTTGAAAACAGTTGTTCCGACAGCTCTTCAGTCAATTTCTACACTTGAGCAACTTGCCCTCAGAGATTTTTAAACGGTGCTTGTGAATAAATGACTGTAATGGATCACTGAGGCTTGGCTTATAACCGGCATATTAATACACCATGTGAACTGTTTATAGGGTCTGAATCTTTAGCCAGATTTATTTTCTCTCCCCCTCCAGGCTCGTTTCCTCCTCTCCAAAGTGAATCCTTCTCAGACTCACAACAACATGTATGCATGGGGTCAGGTGAGTGCTGTATATCTCACCAACACAAGCACATTTCCTATGTGAGGAATTTTGATTAGTCTACTGTGACGAGCTATTGTTTACAACAATATAAACACGTCTCAGCTTGTTCTAATATTGTTTTACCCGCACCGCCGCTGATTGAATCACACTTCCTGTGTTTGTGTAGGAGTCTGGCGCACCCATTCTGACAGACGACGTGAGTCTTCAGGTGTTTATGGATCATCTGAAAAAGCTGGCAGTGTCCAGCGCTGCCTGAGAGCCTCCGTCATTTTCTCAGTAACACACAGGCAGCAGGGTCACATTGGCACTGCCCTAAGTTTTCCCCATTCATATCATGCATATATTGAACCTAGATCTTTGAAAAGAGAGATTGAGTCAATCGTGAAAGGAAATGTAATTCTTTAATGATTAATTATGAAAAAAAGGTAAACACTCTATGTTGAGTATACATCAGGACAAGATATTTGTTACTGTTTTGATCATCTGAAAAAGCTGGCAGTGTCCAGCGCTGCCTGAGAGCCTCAAGTCATTTTCTCAGTAACACACAGGCATTAGGGTCACATTGGCACTGCCCTAAGTTTTCCCCATTCATATCATGCATATATTGAACCTAGATCTTTGAAAAGAGAGATTGAGTCAATCGTGAAAGGAAATGTAATTCTTTAATGATTAATTATGAAAAAAAGGTAAACACTCTATGTTGAGTATACATCAGGACAAGATATTTGTTACTGTTTTAATCAGAATGAATTTATTTTGCTATGTGAGTGAAGTAGCAACATAAAAAAAAAAATAGTTCACACAAAAATGATAATTAATTCATTATGTACTCGCCCTCATGCTATTCCAAACCCATAAGCTGATTTTTTTTGGTACCTGGACACAAACTGAAATTATGATGTAGACAAAAATAGTCCATGTGCTTTATATCCAAGTCTTCTGAAGCCATACATTAGCTTTCAGTCATTTCAGTTTTTTTTTTGGTCATTATTCAGTCATTTAGTCATTATTAGCCCACATTTGTCTCCAAAATGTAAACAAAAAATGGCACATTGCAGTAGTTTGCTATACAAACTGCTTTTATGTACCATTTATGATTTAGTCTAAGATGTTATTTGATTATAGGAGAGTTTAAAGTACTATGTACTAGGAGAGTAAATGTACTATTAAAGGTCATTAATATCCATTATTCAAAAGTAAAGGTCATTAATATTCAGTGACCTGTATAATCTTAGTTAAATTAAGAAATAAGCCATGAGATGCCAATGCTGTTGTTGATTGCTTCTGCACACCATTTTTGAATGCACTAGACATGAATTATCTTACATTTCCTTGTACAAAGCTATTGTATGGCTTCAGAAAACCTGGCATGTAGTGCAAATGTCATATTGATTACTTTTATTATGCTTTTTCTCTATATGGCAAAAACCACAACAATTCTTCAAAAGCTAATACTTTGTGTTTTACGGACAAAAATGCCAGCATATGGGTTTGGAACAACATGAGGGCGAGTTAATAATAATGACTGAACATTCATTTTTTGCCTGAAATGTTGCTTCGAATCTGATGTTTACGTGTATGAAGCTCTGTGATGAGACTTATGTTGAACGGAGGGAGGAAACTCGCTGGTTTTAGCACACCTGCAGCAGATACTTTTGTTTGCCTAGTCGAGGAAGGTGAAAGCAGTGCCAATGTAGCCAATTAAGCATGAGAGCTCGAATGCCGCCTCTAGCCAACAGCGCAGAACAATGGCTTATTTTTAGACCCTGTGTGCGTCTCTCGTCTCGTTGCCGTTGATGGTTTGTGTTTCAGCGCAGGGTTGAATGCCCCGTTCCAAACACAGACTTGCAGAATTTGTAAGCTGCCTTTCTGTCTGTAGCTCTGATATTTATGAGCCATTTCTAGCAGTATTGTATGTTTTGTTTCTAATAAAACCGGCTTCGTGATATCCCAGCTGGCCTGCAGTGTTCACATTTTGGAGACTGAAAACCAATCTTTCTGTCACTCTTGCCTTTCAAGTCGGCATCCTGTGAGTCTCAAAGGACACAGAAGTCAACTTTGTGTTGTTAAAAGAAGAGTTGAAAACACTGCCATCATTTTTTTCACCCTCATGTCATTCCAAACTGCATGACTTACTTAGAGGTTTTGTATCATCTCTGAGCTGTTCTTTTCCATACAGGCTTTGATCGACACGAGGGTCGAAATATTCCTTTAACAGAGCGCAACTATTGCGTGTTCCACAAGTGAGAGTTTGGGCTGGTGTGTAAAATAATTCATAGTCACGATAGCACGGTCCAACACAAAGATTCAGGGATTTCCTTCAAAAATAATTACTTCGTTTACACCATTTCTGTGGTTGTTTTCACTGATGGCCACATGGGAGCAGCAATTAACTGAGAGCACGGTTCAACTGTGATAATTGGAGAAGTCAAACCTTCTTTGAAATGCTGTATGTAAATGATTAAACTCTCACAGCAGTCGATCTAGATATTTCACATCCAAGTTTTATGGAAAGACAATTACAGATTCAAGTGTTCATTATTTCAGAACACACCATGTTATTCCCTGGTAAATTTCTCATCCGGCTCCCTATCCATACTTTTATGGATCACCCTTTCAAATTGGCATGCCTGGGTTTTCATGCTGATTAAATTAATAAATTCAACACTTCGTTAGGCAGGTATGAAAAGGTTATTACTTTCACGCCCTGAGCACAGTGTAATGTATCATCTATATTCTGATTCTATAATGCATGCTAAAACACTTTTCATACTAATTTCAGCTCAATGGCTGTGAAAGCCTGTAACTACACCTGTAAATTCTTCCTATAGCCATTGATTTTTTTTTCCTTATGCATTTGTTTTCTTCATATGTCCCATCTGTTATTTTCTTAAATGTGTCTCCCAATCTCCCGATTTCAAAATTTAATACAATTAAAAATTGAAGAACTGTGTCTAAAGAACATGCATTACATGTTGATTTGGACATGATTACTTGGATAGCATGACTTTGTGGTCTCTTATTGCAATTGCGACATTCAAATCAATGTGTATGTGAGAGCTCTGAAGTATCTCATTCTTCCAGTGAAGAATAGTCATTTTGTAGCAACAAGAACCCAAATCTTGTTGGCAGGAGAGTCATGGTGCATTTTACATGCACTGCAGAATGCAAGCATTGAGAGTGGAAACAAAGCATATTGTCAAAGACAATATTCCCAAACTGTATTGCTGTGGTTCCATAACAATCTGATCAATTTCACTGACTTAGTCTTAGAAAACAATCTTTTACTTAGATCGTTGCCAAGGGGCAGAAAAGTATTAAATCTCAAGCTTGTTAAGACAAATTAAGACGTGTCTATATCAAAACCACATCTGGAGTGTTGTTAAACCCACTGTCTTATAACATCCTCCAGAGAGGTTTGGAATTATCTTGTCGCTTGCCAGAAAGTTTCCATTAATTATTGAACGAGATCTGCTGCATTTTGGTGCAAAACATGTACTTTAATTATGCATTAGATTTGATAAGCAATTTCTCCATGACTCGTTGGAAGAAATTCAATGCTACAGATTTTGGGTCAATGTGTTTCACTTTTCCAATTCATTAGCCATGATGGATCCAGCTAATTAACCCACACAGTGCTGGCCTCTCACAGATGGGTGGAAATTCACTCATTACAGCAAATGAAGGTATGACCTTGCTGATTGAAATTCTCAAAATATCTCTCCCTAGAAGGAGTGTGTTTGCTGAATTAACAGACTCACCGCAGCCTCGTTCAGGCACATTTGAACACAAACCTCACATCACATCCATCACGAGCGATGGACTGAAATACCTGCCTAAATGAATCGTCCCAGATTTTTTCAGCAGTTTTGTCTTTAGATAAAATAATCAGCTCTTTCAAACAGCTTTTAAAGAGGCAGCTATTTTGTCCTTGTAATCAGGCAACTGTTTGTCTGTTAAGTGCGTTGCTGTAGAGTCTGTATTGAATAGGCTGTACACAAGAGGATGACGACATCAGTACAGTAATGTCACAACAGAGTATCTGCATCACAAATGGTTTCAGAGGACATTCTGAACCACTCATACTACACACTGACAAGGATAAAGTGCTTTCTTTTAGAGCATCACTGCAATATGCCTAGTGAATCAGTGAAATTTAAGGTAAAGAAGAATTGTATTGTTTTGTATTTTATTGCATTTTATTGTTTATTACTAAAATCGGTTTTGGCTGTTTTTTTCTTTTTTCTTTTTATCTTTATAATATGCTGTGACAACAACCTTAAAAACACAGGTGGTAAAGCAAAAGCCAAGGGAGTTCATCACAAAATTCCTAATGTACATACAGTAACTGATAAGAAAAATGAAGTTATTTCATTGAAAAACCATAAAATGTGAGTATCTATCTATCCGTCTTGTCTGTCTGTCTGTCTGTTTGTCTGTCTGTCTGAAAACAGGACAACTTTAATAGCCTACAATATGTAAGTACAAACAAATTTACCACAAACGCCTCAGAGGTTACCTTTTACTCAAAACAGAAGCCTTAATGAATATCAACACGCACATAGTATATTAAAAAGAAAAAATGAAAACATGCCTGTATTTTAACTTTGAGCGCTGGAATGTGTTATTCGAAGATTTTAAATTACAGGTATTTAATGTGATAAAACCAGTCCAATTTCATGTATAGCAATGAATTGCGGTTAATGTTACCATGCATAATTATCTGAGAGAATTTAATCTGGCATTGACAGTCAAGACTTTACTCTCAAACTGTCACTTCGAGGACAAAAAAAGCTAAATTTATATTCAAATACTGTTTGTCGTCAGAGAGTTAAACACAATTAACTGAGCATTTGCTTGTATAGTCACTCGGGGTCAAATATTCGCCTGTGAAATTTGGCTGACACTAAGTTTCAGCTTTACGTGACCACAATATCAAATTATATATATATTATGGAAATGTCATTATTACCGTGTATGCAATATGAGGCTGTAATCTGATAGCTGTAATATATGAATATTTGCCACTTCTATTCATAGCTTCTGCCACAAGTTTTTCATTTGTGAATGATAATACTGTTTCCTGCTGGCAACTGTGTTCAATAAGATGAATTATGACAGGTGAAATATAATTGCATCATTAGTGAAAGTGACGCGACATGTGGCCAAGTATGGTTACCCATACTAGGAATTAGTGCTCTGCATTTAACCCATCCTAAGTGCACACACACAGCAGTGAACACACACACACCCGGAGCAGTGGGCAGTCATTTATGCTGCGGCGCCCGCTCAAGGGCACCTCAGTCGTGGTATTGAAGGTGGAAGAGAGTGCTGGTCCGACTCTCTAACCATTAGGCCCCGACTTCCCCATTATGTAGAGAAGCCATTACTTTACAGTTATAGTTGCCCTTTAATAGCTGACACATATGTAAATTCATATTTTCTGTATCTTTCTTTGTCATGTGTTGCCA